AGGATCCCTTATAGTTTTTTCTGTTCAGAATTTAAAATATTCAATACTTCCAGTCTGTCAGGATAGGGAAATTGCTTTAATCCTTGGGAAGTATCAGGTTGCTCTTCTCTGAACTGATACTAGTGGGCAATATGAAAGAGAAAAGAATTTTAGAGATGGTTGCCTCTTGTTGTTGTGAGTTGCAGAGTGCTTTCTTGGTGACTACTTGCCCGTTACAATCTGAAGTACCATAATAATGTGGACATCTTTCAAAATCAATGCCTATTATCTTCTCTGTTTTATCTAAAGTTTATTTTATTTCTGTCTCTTGGTAAATGATTATCTGTTTTTCATGGATCACAGCTTCTCATTCTTGAGCTGACTTAAAAGTAAGTGTTTATCTTGGTCTTTTTCTATAGAAAGCAATCTGTAGTTTGCTTCATGCGGTTACTTGTACAATAAAATGCTTAAAACTGAGCACACAATGGTATTTTGCTTAAGAATCTTGAAGAATAAAGCTTTTTTATATATGTTATGGAACATTTTAAGAGATACATGATGGGAGGATTAGTGTTTGAGCAATTATAAAAGGGAGATACTGTAGAAGAGAAGACTGGAATTGTTTGATGTTAAAACACACTTAACTAGCTAATTAATTTATTTGGCTAACACGTTTATCCAAAGCAACTTACATTTGGGCCTACAGTATTTTATAAATCTGAGTATTTTATTGTAACCCTAAACATTGCTCAATGCTTCTACTTTGAAAGAAACCAGATGAACATTCACTCTGGTATAAACAGCATCCATGACTATGAGATCCTATTTTACTATATACTGTACAGATTATTAAATATTTGCATAGTTGTAAAATTGTTGATTAGTAAAAAAGTAGTTTGGTACTCCAAGTGCAAAATACGATTTAAAACAACCCATTTCACAGGTTTTCCTGTTATCAAAGTCAGTGATAAAAGTGTGATGTGAAAGAATCTCCATTTTGTCTCATAGTTTACAATAGAGAAGAGGAAACAAAATATTCCAGAAACTCTCAAGATAATGCCTTAGATTTATAGTATATTGAATTGAGTTTTCAGCACAATTTCCATCAGTTCTTTGATTACTTTGTTTACTTGAAACTTGATTATTTGTTGAACCTCAGTCTTTTAATATTTCTAACTATGCCCTTCTGTAGTTTCACTTCACACAGCACTGTGAGTTACTGCTCAACAAGAAAAAATCACATAAAATAAAAATTGATTGATGTAAGACAGCAAAGCATCACAGAAATGTGGGGTGTGTTGTAAATTAATATTACTTTCAGATTTTTTTGTGATGAATAACTTCAAATATATGTAAATATAGATTTTATGTATATCCTTGAGTAATTTTATTTAAGTAGAAAAACATGGTTAAATGTAATGCAGTACTGAACAATACTGCATGATGGAAACAATGTATTCAGATTCACACAGTGTGACTTCAATTTCCCAATCTCAACAGTATGTTTTAGTTATATTTCCATATTAAATCTTCCCGACTTGGAATAGCCAGTATTGTGCTTTTCTTGTCTTAGCTTGCAGGTCTGAACTCCACGACTTCTTGTACAGTAGGATAATAAAGTATAGAGAGAATTGTCTAACCTACCCTTGTCTTTTAACACGTCATTGGCACTACATCTCTCTGCCAGAGGTTCAGTGCTGATTGGAGGACAGATATATCACTCACTGACAGCACCACATACCTGGAAGCACCAAGAGACAACAGGGATCACTGTGTCTCTGATATCCAATATGTTTCTGGCAGACTAACCCTACCCTATCCTCAGCAACACTCAGCCAATTGCCAATTGGGGAATTCTGATCATAGTCAGCTACTGACATAACCCAGGCTCACACCCACGATCATAGAGATCAACCTGCCCCTCCCTCATTGAGCTACTTCAGAGGCTCCTCAAATTTAATACTTGTTAATGAGCCTTGCTCTTACGAAAAACAAAAGGTTCCTTCCTTATGAAATACACACAAATGCTAATGATTTCACAGTCTAAGCAAAGTTTACACTGTTATAAAGAAAGGGCAGTAATTAAGCTAAATTGGTTGAAAACATTGAGGGAAAGGAAGCTGTAATGATAAAACATGCAAGCTAATACATGGCTCACTAACAGGCCACAGGAGTGTAAAAATATTTTGTGATCATCAGTGTCAAGTCAATGACTGCAGTGAGCCTGCAAAGTGTGAAAACAGGCAACGTTAAAAATGAGGAGTCTGAGTGAAGAAATAACCATACTAAAAAGTAAGCTCATTGTTTTGAAAAAGTGCCCTAGATGCAAAACCCAGCACCTTAGTTAGTTTCCGGAAGGAAGGTAACTTTACAGAAAATAACAGGTCCCTTTGCTAGTGTCATAAACGGTATTTGGGCACTACTTTACACTGAACTGTCACATAAATTCTCAATTAAGGATTAGAAAATGCCTCATTAAAGGACAGACTGTTGGAGTGAGCAAGAAAAAAAAACTATTAATGTTTCATAGCTACGGGAGACCACATATTTCACTTGTACCTCAGTTCAGCCTCACACAGTAGAGTGCTGTCCTTGAGGAAAACATTCTTCTCAAAGGGCACTTTCTTGGGCAGACAAATTTATCAAAGAACATTTCTAAATCTTCCCCAGTAGGTGTTCTGATAAAGAGTACATGCTGATGAGAAACTCTTAAAATGCTCCACCCATGAGAAGAACAGAGCAGAACAACAAATGTGGGTGTTAATAATAAAAAAATGCATTAGGTATAGGTTTCAGAGCTTAGCTGCCAACAGCTCATTTTTACTATGTGTCTTTCAATAACAGAATAACTACAGTGATATCAATGATATGCACAGCATAGCTCTGTGCAATGATTTAGTAGGGGGATGGAGAGGCAGAGATCAAGATACAGAGAAATGAATATGTTGAACTATAACACAAACACTAAATTGAAGAATGAAACAGCCTTACATGTCAGTATATTTGAGCAGCAAGGGAGATATTAATTGTATTTGGAACTATGAGGTTATGTCTGGAATTTTTGCAGCACACAGACTAAATAACTGACTAAACAATAGATGTCAATGGTCAGACATATCAGTTTCTGGCTCTAATATTAGTGGAATCAAGTCCTTTTCCAGCTTTTGTTTGAACCAGGTTCAGTGATACATTATCACTTTAGCTCCCACAGCTTTCTATATGTCCCGGTGGCCTTCTCCAGCTGATAGGAAGAAAAGAATGTCAGTGCTTAGGCAGTTCAATGGAGTCTGGCACAGCAGAACATTCAATTTAGTATGGGTTGATCTAACAGGAGATCTCAAAAAGATTACGTGGCACACTGCTGACTTGCAACCAGGTTGAAAAAGAAAAATTGATACATTTTTAATCATTAATGCAATAATAACCCCTTAGTTATTAGGACTGTGCTAGGTAACCTTGTGGTACTCTTTGCAGGCTCTCTGTTCTTCAAAGATTTCATACCAGCAACATAATTTGCTCCCAGTCTTCTGAAAGCCATGGTAGCTCACACCAAATAATTGTGCAAGATGCAGGGCTTAAAGTTAAATTGATGCAATAGTTTGAAGGTGCCACTCTATCAAGAAATGACTGAAGTTTGGAAAAGAAATTAAATTAAATCTTTGGACATAAATGGAATTTTGACAATTGGAGGGATTCTGCCTAGAGACTGACAAATGTCAAGGAACCTCATCATCATTATGGCTTTAAAAGTTTGCAGAACAAGAGAAATTGTTAGAATTACTGCCACTAAATCTATGATTCACACAAAATGAAGTTTCTAATTGAAGTCAAGGGTGAAGAAGTACACTAATTCTCTACATTGTCCAATCACATGTACAGTAAATGCTGGTACTGTTATGAGCACCTGTCACTGCCCTTGTAGCAGATCTATGGTTCATTCTACTAAGTGTGTATGGGAGGGGTGTGTGTCTCAATCCCATTACTTTTGTTCCCTAAATTTAGCAACAGAAATGTTCTTAAAATGTTTACTCAACATCTCAAAGGTAGGGATTGACTATTGAAATACCAATGTCAAAATGGAAAAATTTAGAATACAAAAATATTCCTGCTAGGCCAACTTATGCAGGTTGTATTATTTTGTGCTTCTAACAACAAGATTACAAAAATGTATCCTTTTAATATGCCTTGGCATCTAGCCCCAATTGTACCCTTAAATATCAAAATGTGTCTCTGTGACTCTCTAATTGTGCCTAGAGGGTGGCCTTTAAGCTCTCTGAGCTTCATACCTAAGCTTCTTCCCCATGGAATAATCAGAATCACCTGAGTGTATAATTGACTAATTGGAGGAAACAGCATGGCAATTATATCAATTAAACAGAAAACTAATTGATGCCACCTTCAGTCACATGTTTAGCAAGACACAACAGGCCAATGATAAAACGACGCCGCTCCCTTCACCAAAACAGTTCTACATTTCACATTACTACAATTAACACCAATACACGACAACACACTTTTCTGTTTTCTTAGTAGTTGCCTGTTATGGTACCAATTTTAATTACACAGATTGCTTGTAGAAATAACAATTAAACTGCTCAGCAATGTCAATACTATTTATATTTGCTTGAGGTGCCACTTAACCTTAATGAATGACATAGTTCCTTTAATATCAAAGAATAGCGTTTAAGACTCAATCATATTGTTCCCTTTCTTTGGCTATAAACACATAAAAGGCATCCTCCATTACCATATTTCAGGTCATATCTGACTAATATCTAATTCATGGGAAATGATAAAATAGTAAATATTATGGACATTCTTTTCACATTTTATTTATTTAAAGGAACCTCTAAAGCATTCTGTAAGAGGTGGGAACAATTATTTGTACATTCATGCAGGAGGAACTTAAGTAGCTACGCATGGCAATCAAAGAAGAAATAAATCCTGCTACTAATGATTTTCAAATTCAAACACAAAGACACTGACAACAAGAGAGAAGTAGTAATAAAAAGATGACTAACCTAACCCACCTGAGCTGGGCTCACAGGGATCAATGTCCTCATCATCACTGGGACACTCAGCAGACGCCACCAGCAGGTCATCTGTTGGCTGCAAGGAATTAAACAATTTTAGACTGAGCAAAAAAACAGACACAGACATAGCATTTCTACAGTGATTACAGAGCTCTATGTATGCACAATTGGTGTTTCTTTCCTTTGGGATTTTCATGGATTGAGCAGTGTAATCTTAATTTGGCTTGGTTCTGGTGAACTCAAGAATTAGAAGGAAAATAAATTATATCTGATTTTGAAAGAATATTAAGTTTATATGAATATTTGCCCTAGAGGAAAACACTTTGAATATGAGAGAATGCATTCTTTGTAAATGTTCGTTAATGTCATTACAACATAGAAAATAAAATCTTCGCATTATCCTTCTGTCTCTTATTTAGTTTCTGACAGCACACAAGCCTCACTCTACAGTAGATTTCTTCCACTGATTTGAGATGACTCCATATTCAAGGCAGTCCTAGTCCAATGTCTCTACCATTCTTACTGAAATGTATCAGTTAAAGAAAGTAACACAGAAGAGCTGGCTGTTAGATATGGAAAACCAAAAGTGAACCTACAGTAGCAGTAGTAAGATCTTTTTGAAGCAGACTACCATCAGGGGATTCCTCTCAGGCCTGCCACCACACACAGATGTGTTAATGTCAAAGTGTTGCAGCTCTGACTGCACTGTTTAGTGAAAGTTTTACAGATTCTCAAAGCCATCAAAAGATGACCAGACAGGCACATAATCATATGCAAAGCGAGACCCTTTAAAGGTCAGTTGAATCTTGCATCAGTAAGAGACTTTGATTTTCAGTTTCCTGTTTTTTAGTTCTGTTCCTCTTCAAAGGCCAAGAGACCATAAAAGTGTCAGCTCAGCTGAAGAAGCTAATGACGTACTTCTGCTCACTTGTAAAGCACTTGTGGGATTGAATGCTGCCAAGATTGGAATTCAGGCCATTTGCTTCCTCTCACTCTGTGTACAGTAGCACTATGTCTCCACTATAGGAGTGTGGTGCCTTCTGGACTTCGCCAAGGAATATCTTGAAAAATGTTTGTTTGCAGACAACAAAAGAGAAAAAAGTAACAAACAATAAAACATATATATTGCAACATCTATTATATGTTTTGCCACAAGCGATCAGATCGAATTTAATAGTAAAGGTCATTTCCTAAGCACATTATCTTCTGCTCAAGACCGAGACCATTTGTTGGAAATCACCATACGTAAAGGGCAACATTTCTAATGTCTTGCCCCAGGCATTGTTAGAGGCTTGGTTCTATTTATTCTAAACAATGTATCTGCATTTTTACATGAAATGCCAGCTTTCCCAAGTGAGGTTTGTTCAATTAATTTCTACTTGTGGTGAATATGGACTTCAGAAGTAGTTTAACAACAAAGTAGATGAACAGATTCCATAGCTAAATGGAAAAAAACTACATCATGAGGAAACAACATTTGCAAATTCAGGAAATTTGGAAATTCAGAATAAAAGATTAATAGATTGATTAGATGATTAAAAAGAGCTCACAATCTTCTCCTGGAGCTGTTATACAGTATACCAGAAGAGAGGTGGATAATAAATAAAGAGAACAGTTATGTCATACAGTATATTAGTCACCTTAATACTGGAGTGATCAGGTGAAGCAGTCAGTCATGCCAGCTAAACTTTTTTACTTAAGTTCCTGTTATAGCAGGATAAGAGACTGCATGTTAGTTCATGCTGGACAGATCTGTGGAGTTCCATTTATTCAATATAACCAGTGTGTTCCAGTGTTTCATTATACTGTTTCTCTTCATCACCTCACGATCCTTTTCTGAGGAGTTGTTTTGCTCCTCGATTGAGGTAGAGATTCTGAGCAACAAAGATGACAGGGAAACCCACAATATACAAATAAATCAGAAACACAGAGGCTAATTATACACTTGCACATCTGAAGGTCATATTTGTGAACATAGGAAGACCTGAATTTATAAATATTGCATCTGTATTTTGAAGAAACAACCTCTTTTGGTGCCTTTGTTCTCTTTCATAGGACTTTGCACTTTGGTATTGCCTTATTTTTTATATTTGTTCCTGAAAATAGTTTACTTGTCAAACCATAAGACAAAGTGGGAGTTTGATCCTCAGAAGACACAGTGGGCAGGGACTGGTGGGGCGTGAAAGAGCAGAAAGCAGGTGATGTGAAAAAAAAATAAAATCATTGAAAGGCTAAACTTTACTAAACATTTTTTCCAGCAGGATAGCAATGTAAATCTAAATGTAATTTGCTGTGTATGAAGCTGATCTGAAGTGTCGGTTGTCTGGACAGCTATACACAGTGATTCAAAAGTGTCACATCAATCAATCCTTTCCTTTGATTTGTTTTCCCTTGCTATTTATCAACCTTCCTTATATTAAAGTGGTTTGGTGGAAGATCAATGCATTTCTCCTTCAGGTAAAGACAAGGAAAAATATGCTATCTCAGAATAAATCGGAGCACTTCGCATCTGTGCTAGAATCAACAGTGACTTAGAAGGTAACGAGCAATACTTCTGCTGTTCCAGAAACCTCTAATAAGTCAGCCTTAAATATGTGAAGATCAAGTACAAAGAAAATCTTGCAATTTGTAAAACAGTCCCCAGGAGCTGTTGTTTAACTCTCTTTAATGAAGAAAAGTGGGCTACTGTATAATGAATCCATTTTAATGGAGTCTAATCTATCGAGGGATAAAAGACGTCAAACCTTGAAACAAAGCTCACATATACTGGTGGGGGTATGTCTTCAAGAAAACAAGAAGGGTTATTAAACAAAGAGAAAGTGAAGATAAATTTCCAAGATCACAAAGTCACCTAATAATCGGAACTCCACCACAATCAGTTTTTCCAACATAAACTTTAACAGTTATCTCATACCAATTATATCAATTTGAACATTAACATACAGTATTCTAGCTTTATTTTCTTTACCCACCCAAAATTGGTTTCCAGTTTCTGTGACAATAAACACCAGTTTAGTCAGTGCCTGATGTATTGCTTAATTAGAATAAAGATCATATTTCAATTGAGTCGCTTGATTGACATTCTAAGGTTTTGCTTTATAAGCTGATCAAACAAAACAGGGCTTATTGATGACCTATTGCCATCATATAAAACTTTTCTCCTCATTGGCATTCCAGTGCATTTCTTTGTGTAAACTCTCAGGAACACCAGATGCTCACCTTCATGCCCCAATTAATGTATACCAAGTAATTCACTTTACGCACTTTAATCAAGGAATTGTTTGACTTTTTTACTCTTTTTCCACACAACAGCAAACACTTGTATTAGCAAAATATATACTACAAATTTGTTTTACCAATGTATATACAGTATACTGTATATATCTTCAACCTTCCCACCAAAACAAAAGAACTGGCAATTCAAAAACAGAAGCTCTATATCATCTTAGGCCCACTAATTCTTAAAGTACTTTACTACCAGAAAAATAAAAATTATGTAAAACAGCAAGTCAGCTGTTGTATGTCTTGGTGGTACTTCAATCAGCTGCAACTACGAGCAGTGTTTATGACATAAACTGAAAGGAAAAAGTATAAAAGTTTCTCTTTGCTTAGCTTCTGTCATCCTTTTCATCTCAGTTTCATCAGAGCAAAGAATCAAAAGACTGAAGGCAGAGAAGGTTTATAATTAAATAGAAAAAGAAATCTTGAAAGGGTTGCTAGCACAAAGCAGGGAAACTACAGAGAGCCAGAGTGGAAAAGTTTACAGGAGCCATCTGAAAATCACTTAATTTATTAAGTAAATTTTGAGACTTTAAAACAAAAAAAAGACTTAATACATTTTAATAGATTTTAAAAAAATCACGAAACACCGTTGTCCTTTGTTGGTGTAGTTTGTTTTTACTGTACCATTGGACTCAAATATGCTGTGAAACATATTTCTCACTAGTGAAAATAAAGCTTAAATTGAATTTTTGTAACTAAGATTAAATGACAAGAAAATAATTGTGAGGGAAAGACAGGGTTTCAGTCACTTACAAATAAGTGTGTTAGTATGTTGGTTTTGAAAATTGCACTTCAGAAATGCATAAAATTAGTACATTTATTATATATGAAAACAATCAGACTGTGTGTTAATAAAACAATGAATTCATTGTTATCAGGGAACAGTTTCTATCAGCTTAACATCCTATTTATGCTCCAATACTGTATTACAGGATATAAAAGTTTTCGATTGATATATAATTGCGGTATACTGTATATAGTTCTGATACACATACAGTATACTAACTCTATTAATAGACCATTAATAAGAGTACCAATAACTAATGGTACTAATTTTCTAATGGCTTGTTTATAATCAAAATTAAAATGTATTTAATAGTATACAGTATACATTTTAAACTAGTGACCTGATTCATGAAATCCTTAGGTAGCTCAGTAAACACTTTCAAATCATTGTGACATCCCTGATCTCCAATTCTTTTTATAACATATAAATTATCACCCAGACAATAACTAATATCATGTTTGTAATGCATTAATAATGTGTGATTTGTAACCCAAACTATCTTTCTAAAGTGCTACTGGAACAAACTAAAACATGGCATGGACACAACCAACAGCTCTTTGAACATGCAACATGCAGATTAGGAAGCCAACTTTGAGTCTTATTGAGAAGAAGTCTTACAAGTACTATACTGATACAGTCAGTACTTGTGGAAGGAATTATTTTCTATTTTAATCCACTACTTCCCCTTAAATATAGTTCATAATTCGTGCTCTCTTAACTAATTCCCAGAGTGGATGAATACAGTAGTTGCAAATAACATTGCTGTCAATCAAGGTTCTCTTACTCATATTTTGTATATTGTTCAGCTTATCACCCTACAATTCAGATAGCGCTCATCTGAAATGAGAAACATGTAACAAGATTTTGATTATTTTTCTCCTTTGCCTATGGGTGAGGCAAGCATCTCTTTAACAACAGCTGAAAATAATTTTTTAAAAATCTAATGTTCAACAATTTATTGCATGTGCATTTTGAATTGTCTTTTGTTATCCAGTCTGCTAGATCTG